AAAAAAAAAAAAAAACTCATAAAAGACGCTACTAAAAATCCGATCAATGGTACCCTTTGGACCCTCTCGACTGGTACAACTCCAACCTATTCTTCGCCTCGTTAACCAACGTCTCCATCTCCTTATCCTGAATGAAAACCTGCTGCTTCGCCGCCCATTCGAGAATATGAATCACATCCTCGTTCGCCAGCTCCTCGCTGTCCGGCACGTGCATCGCCAGGTAACACAACAAAACAAAACATGGCAGCTGCACCAAGCCGACCTCACCGAAGTAAACCTGCGGCTGCAAGTGCTTGATCCCCCCCTCCTTAATAATCTCCTTGCAATGCGTCTCGTGCAAGAAATTATCCGGCCCCGCAAACTTATTCAGCGCCAGCGCCGCCTCACACATCACCTCCGGCTCGGTTTCGTCGAGTAGCTTCACGAGTGGTCGGATGAACCGAGTCTCGGTCGCGCGGAAAGTCCTCGCGAGGTTCCCGATCGACCGAATGCTCGGGACCATGAGTTCTGAGTCGGGTTTCTCGATTATCCCGAGGAACTGCTCGACCACGGCTTTGGCGACTGGGGCCGTCGGTTTGAAAGCCGAGCGGCGGAGGGACGAGTCTTGTTCGGCGACGGCGGTGATTTCCATTAAGGCGAGGGCGGAGTTGTATCGAACGTCTTCGTGGCCTTTTTCGAGGAGGACGGCGAGGCAGAGGAGGGCGCGGGACTCGGTTACGCTTCGGCAGATGTTGACGTTGCCGGCGCAGAGGTAGCGGAGGGCGCGGGCCGCCATTGATTTCATCTCGGCTTTGGTGGCGGGGTCCTCGAGCTCGCGTTGTTGCTTCTTGATGCTGCTTACGGTTAGAGCGTCGTGTCGCGGCTTGTGGTTGGTGTTATGGTTTTGGTTTTGGTTTTGGTTTTGGTTGTGGTTTGAGTTGTTTGATGATGGCTTCATGGCCATCGTGTTGGCCACGACGCTCTGCATCTGGCTCGTCGCGTGTTGACCTTGACCCTGACCCTGACCTTTATTAATATTGTTATTACTATTGTCTTTTTACGAATATGTTTTATAGTCAAGTACTAAATGCAAAGATGAAATGTAGTCATTTTTTTTTTTT